CTATTAGATATCGAAGAACAACTATTCCATTCATTACATTGTGCTAAAAATTAATTATAAATTTGAAAGAGTATCTATTCACCATGGATCGTACAATGTACAGTTAAACGTGTATTAATTAAATATGCACCACTCGTACAAAGTAACTAGTACATACCTTCAATTTTTATTGTTTGGAAAGTGTTACTTTGCAGAATGCAAACAGCAAAATACACTTTGATGTTCACGTACTATAAAGACGTCCTGACATATAAAACCGCTGGCTATAAGAATAAAGTTTAGAATGACTGCTGAAACTCTGGAGAAATAATAATTTTTTAACCTTCAGTGGTTACGAGGATTGCTATTGTATTCCAATCTTATTCATTCACAGTTTAGAGCAAAGAGTTGACAAACTGTTGGTATGGGCTTTTCAGTTCCTTTTGTGGAAGGCCCCAGCTATTGAATTATAGGGAAATATGACTCAAATAATAACTGCTGCTCAAACGATAAGCACCGGAAGCTTGGATTTCAATAGTAATCCTTGCGAGCACTTGTGGTTCAGTTTCTGACCTATGCGGACATCATGATTATCGCTAAAATTAATGCTGTGAATGTTTATGCAAAGAACAATGGTGGAGAAAGGCTGACTACGATTTCTAAAGGATCTCACATTGTCCCTTATGAAACCAGGAATAAAAAGGACGATTGAGTGAAAAACTCAATCGTCAAAAACTCAAACAGTGTGTCAACAGCAATAAGAACATGCGGGAGACTTCTGTGGGAATCCAAGAAGAGACCGAGGGATCCGCTAGTCACCAAAGGGCAATGTGGGACATTGTGTGGGACATCAATGAAATAAGAGCACTCGACCGTACTGTGTACATTATGTCCAGTGGGTGTGCCCAGTACGCATTAAAGAAATGTGTGAGATGTTCATCTGTTGTTGACATTGAATTGTAATTGAAATTTTAGACAAGACACTATGAGATGTAAAAAGAAGAATTGGAAAAGTTTTAAAATAATAAACAGGAGATGTTGAAAGGGAACATAAGCACCATATACAGTGTTTAGTGGAAAGTTTCAATAATAAGATCCCACTTTTGTGAGCATCTCTGAATATTAAGTTATCTCTATGGTGTAACACGAAGTATTGCAAAAGTAAACAATACTGTTGTTAGTGTTTTCAATTTCAGATCTTCGTTAAGTTGTTAAATTACACCAGATTAATGTACACAATTTCTCTCTCATCACTTGCAGTGATGGGAAAAACAATGCAATCAAAGGTTGTGGACATAATGAAAATACTACGTTTTCCCTAATGTCTGAGTATGTTTGAGAGATTTATACTGAAGACAAGTTTGAAACCCATTATGAGTGTATACACAAAATAATAGAATACAAATTATGGAGTTTCAAAATAAATTTTGACAAAAAAAGAAATGATTACGGAAGTAAATCTCAGAAACTTAAAAATATATTTAATTGGCCATAATTGAAAAATGATTAAAAATATGTTCGGGAGAAGGATTGAAAAATAAACTACCCTATTAGTAATAAAGAAATACAAGGAATAAGACAAAAATGAAATAAGAGTTCTTTATTTCAATAAACTAGTGAGAATGTATGGTTACTGAAACTTTACCTCTTCATAGTGTTATTTCTTAATAACTATTACTTATGTACTCATATTTAAAAAAGGTGCTGGGCATCATTTAAAGATTGACAATTCACGCATAAATTGCTTTGAGAAAGAAGTCTCTGACTTTAATATTGGATGTAAAGGAAAATTTGAAGTTCTACAATCGAATGGTTTGGAAAATATTTGAACTTCTACAATCTTTAAAATTTCAGAGATTTAATGAAAATCGGAAATGTACCATCTTTTGTAAATTAACTTTTCTCTTTTGCAAAAAATAATTTACAGAAAATAATGCAGACAATTTTCACAAAAATCTTGAAAAAATTTTTGAAAATATCACAGGGACTTCATATCAAGTATAGTATCCCTCAAAATCATAATATATCTTAATAATTCCTTGAATGACAACCACATCTTACTTCTGAATTTTTTTAACACGTTTCCACTCTAAAGGTTCTCATATGAAAGATTTATGAGTGCCACATCAAACAATCCAGATGTCCCGATTTTGGGCCGCAAAGCTTTCCGCCGTTTGGGCCGTAATCTCTTTCCATCTGCACCAATCTTGACTGCCTTTGGAAGAGCGAAAATAAACCTTAATAACTCTATGCCAAGTTACAGCACCTTAAACCAACAGAATTTAAAGAACTTTAAACTTTAACCGAATTTGAAATGTAGAAATTCGAGATTTCATTGCTGTTGATTCCAATACTTTGATGACAACTAGGATAAATATATTATTTTTCTAAAGTAGCGAATCCACGGGGAGGGAATTGAGGGAAATTCCACCTGCCCATAATTTTTCAGAATCATAATTTTAAATTGTCACTAAACATTCGAGCGAAAATATTTGCTCATTAAAACGAACAAAATCGTATCGAAGAATGAGCCGAGTGTAGCTTGCGACATTTTACAAAATCTGTAGTATGACACACACGATCAAAACATTTTGAATTTACCCTCCCCAAATTTGTCTCTGGATCCACCCTGTTCTAAAACAAAAGCAATATACTATTGGAAGAAGTACGAATTTAAAGATCGACATAAGTAGGGAGTTTTTGCACCCTCGAACATTAAAACAATCCATCTTCAGTTCGACCGATGGATCGGGATTACTTGTTGCCGAGCCCTGACGTGGAGGAGGAGGAGGAGGAGGAGGGTAGCGGGGCGGAAGCAACGTCGCGCGCAGCGGCGCACTCTGCCCGGAAGCGCCGCACTCGCGAGAAGGGCCCCGGATTCACCTCCCCCCCCCCCGAATAACAAAGAATGGTTATTGATGCACCAAGGGCGTTATAAAGGTTCTAATGATCGAGTCCTTGAGCATTTTGTCGCCGCTTGATCATTAGATCTAGTTAACGCCCGTGGTACATAGTACATAGTTCTATTTCGTTCTTAATTGTAGTGATTAAGATTTACTTAATAACTAATGAACTTGATGGCAACATGACTCGGTTAGTGTTTTCATATTTCCCTTCCATAATTCCCTCCGTAAGGGAAAATATAGCAGCATTCAACTGTTTTCATATTTCCCTCGTAACCAAGATCCTCCCGATCCAGGTAAGGCATGCAGTGTATATCAACTCCGTTACGAAAGCAATAACAAGCTACAACATATCAGTAAAACATGAAACTGATTTATTGATTGATTAGTGATTACGAGCGCATCAGCTGCCAAAGTCATTAGTCCCGTAAGTGTAGTGCGTATTCTGCTCGGGAGGGGGCGGTGATATTGCCCCACTGGACGGCGAGACCCGGTGCCGACCTACCGTCAGCGAGCAGTCTTTTCCCCAACCAGGTATCTCCCATCAGTGGAGCACCGCCCAGCCGGGACAAGCTCTTAGCTCCCGGCCGGTTTCCCGTCATGTGGGGTAGTGTAGTGCATGCAAGTGCAAATGTATGCAAGAAAGGAGTGAGGATAGGTCAAAAAAGAGAAAGGAAAAATCGCGCAAGATTCACCCTTAATAAGCGCACTTAGTTTTAGGATCTACCATAGGGTGACCATTATTTTCGTAAGACTGGATTTTCCTCCATCTCTCCCTCATTAATTTTAAAGTATAAAAAATGAGGGATTCAAATTACCCTTCTCATTGTGCCCTTTCCTCCGATTCGTCAGTGGGAAGTTTTGACGGATCAGAAAATTATGACCCGGCTACTGTCACGTCCCGCCTCCGCTAACCATTTTTATTGTTCTATATTCAGAGGGATCGTAATAATATAACGCGTCTTGGAATTACAATGACAGAAGAAAGATTAGAGCAAAAGCGAAAGAAGTATTATGAAAAATGATTTTCTTACATGTGTTTACTCGTATTCGAACAGTGTGTTATTACTCGTAGATCTGCAATGAAGATACTTTTCTAGTATTCATTGATTCTGTCTATTGAATTTTTTTCACCTTTTCCCCCACAATTTGGATAAATAAATTATGCAAGTTGCCCATCAAGAAGAAGTTAACCTTACGGAAAGTACCGAATTAAAACTGCTTTCGAACTGAGAAGTGCATTCAGCAAGGCTTAAGTTCATATTAAGATTCGCATTTCATAGAACTCAAGTACTAAAAGGGTTAAGAAAGAAAAGTGTAATTGTATTATTTATAAAAAAGTTGTTTATTTGTAAACTAGACGTAAAAGTTTATAAAGGAAACATCCTTAAATTTGATTGATATGCAAACCCTACAAATAACTTAAAAAATACGGAGCAGTTACCTTACAATATCTTTCTTCATATTTAAACTATATTATGGAATCTGTAGAAGAAGATGTGTAAAATTACCTTCTAAAAGAACAAAAACTAATCTCTTGTTTAAATTGTAAGTGCAACGAACACGACGGTATTGCTTCTTTTTATGAAAGGAAGAAGAAAAATGTTAACAGAGTTATGTCTGTTAATTTATAAATTAATTATACATAAAATAAATTAAAGTGACATGTTTCAAAATTAAGCTATTTTACATAGGTAAAATTTTGAAAAAAATCTTTCATTGTATTCACAATTTTTCTCCATTAACTGTGCTTAACAAAGTGTAGAAAAATTGTTCGGTATATCACAAATTTTATATTTAATTACATTAGAAACATGAACTTTGTAACATTTATAGGTTGTGAGAAAAATGCACAAGAATGAAGAACTACACTTTCACTTCTCTCTCTTCATGTATGAACAAAATAATTATTTATGAAACACCGATCATACATGCAACTTTTGTTATTAAACATTTGCTCTAAGAAAAGAGCCAACAATTCCTGAAAAAAGCCCCATTTGTATTTTTTTCTTCAATTCAGAGATATAAAGCTTTATGTGATGGGAAACTAAAATCGAGCTAAAATGTACCCCCAGCCCTTAATAGCAAGTTGAGGATTCGGAGATGTGAATGTGCTTATTTATTATTATTTTGACTGAAGTATTTTATTTGATTAGAAGTTTTTGAAAGAGAAGTAAAATGTTGAGAAAATGTAACAACTGGTTTTTCAATGTAAATTTTCAATATTGCATACATGCTCTGCTATAAAAACAAGAACAAATTGGTTTTTTTAATTAACAAAATTTATGATTTATTTGGAAAAATATATTACATTAGCAATATTAGATTGAAAGATGTGAAATTCATTTTACAGAGGTGTCTAGGAACTTGGTTCCCATTGTTTGAATAATGGTATAAAAATACTTTAAGTAGTAATAAATTTCAAAGCCTTTTTCTGATATGTTTGTCAACTTTTTGGATTTTAATTTTCAAGTCGTCCCATGAAAGTTTTAATTGCTTTCATAATCGCTCGTGATTTTGTGATAAAATAAGAACTTACAGGATCCATAAGTTATGATTCAAAAAAATGTAAGATAATAGTAGTGTGTAACGTCATTTGTTCACTCACATTTTCTTCACCGCATCTGATTAACTAATTTCTTTAGTTTTGCTATAATGATCAGACTTGTCGTAAAAATAAAGGTTGCATATGAAGACTAAAGCACACACAATATTTTCAAAAAACTAACGCATGTTTTGATTCAAATCAATGCATTATTTCGTTAATTGTGTTGTAGAATCATCCCTGAACGCATCCCAGCGATATTACGAGTCCAAACATGGAAGAAGCGACGTTTTAATGCGCATTAGATACAGACGAATCACGGTTCGGAGAACATTAAGTGCATATTTGGAATTCTATTTCTGCATAGACACTAAATCAATAAATGCTCACGTCTTCCAGAACAAATAAATGTTCACAATTACAATGTTTCTGGAAGAAAATGCACAAATGTTCACCGATTGGGAACAGTAGAACCATGCTGATCCTTCGTCCTTTTTCGAGCTTTTCGCATGTATACATAGGAGAAAATATACATTTCCATGCCACATTGCCCAAGCACAAAAACTTTTCAATTTCCCACTTCCCTTAAACCAAACACAAACGCGTTTCCCTCGTTTTCTCTAAACGATGAGAATGAGACTTGGATCAGTATGGTTCTCTCCTCGCCAACTGTCAGTAGGCATATGGAATGGGCGAATTCGTTTTGGCATAAGTCACACGCACAACAGTATAGAAAAGGTGAAGCTGAGACGCGAACAGTTGGAAATTCCGCCTTAAGTCTGCGGTCACCTCGTGTCTGTCTACGTCTCTTAGTAATACACGCGTTTCTAGAGCTTTTGTGCCAAAACATGATGCATTTTGACAACCGTACGAATTTTCGTAATCTCGTGACTTAATGTGGATGGCGAACATCGTGTTGCACAAGCCTGGATTACGAATTTTGGATGAAACGAACTGGCGCAATCTTAATGGCACGTACTGACTGATACGTGGGCGATTAGCCTGTGTGACACAAATTGAGCTGCATACCCAGAATGACTCAGCCATGTCACATCTAGAGCGGATCAGCCACGACGACACACCTAGAGTGGCGAAGCTGTTCTTCACGGCCGCTTGGGTGGCCGAACTCCAGCAATTGAGGTTCCACGCACAGCAACAGAGACTACGGGTGGCCGAAGCACTGAGAGTTGGAATCTGCGTATTCCTGCCTTGGGGCCACCTTGTTTTGTCGAAATAGGAACTTCACTCGCTGACGTGCGCTTTTGAATCGCACTTGTCCAACAAGAATGCATATGCACCAACGCGCGTTCTCTCGCAAGTCTGGAGGCGCCACCCGATCGGCGCAACTCTGCTGACACGACGCGGGTGGCGCAACCTGGATAACGCAGCTTACACTCAGATTGAAATGTAGGGTCCTTTCAAGGTCACGAGCTGGGAAAAGGAGGGGACATCGTCATCCAAACGGGAGCTTCGATACCAAAAGTTTACGTCGTAACGAAACTTCTTATTGGACGTCGCGAAGAACTAGCGACCTAAGAACTTGCTGGAGTATGAAATCTGAAACAGCGCAATGAGACTTGAAACAAACTGTATTGCTGCACACTCAATGTGTGTGCCAGTTGGCTTAAGTCGTTCTGACCTTCTGTTTTTCTTTTTATGTGACAGAATTGGCCATAGATGCCCGTAAGTGTAGGAATTGTCGCACCGCAGTGGTGTGAACGTTATTGCACATTTCGAGGATTCACAAAACTACTCCAATGAAGCTAATACGGTGGAATTGCCATCGGGGTCCAAGTCGACCTATAGCTCCTTGGATAACGCAGCTTATACCCCTATTGAAAAGTCCCCTTCTAGGTCACGAGCTGGAAGGAGAAGGGTACACTGTGTTCCCACCGGAAGCTCCAATACCAACAAAATAAGTCGTAACGAAGTTCCCGATTGGGGGTCCCCCCTCTTCCCTTCCAGCTCGTCATGGAGAGCTATAAGAAGGGACTGCTTTGTCACCTATTGCCTGGCCCCTACTGTCAACACACCTGCAGGCCATGTCCTTGCACTCATTTTGTCAATGCGTTCGTTAACAGTTGGCTCATTTGTAAAAGGGTTCATCACTATCACTTGCAACTGTCATCGCCCTGCATAGCGTTCATTTGTTTCCTAACCTGTCAAAGAAGTCCTTTCTTATAGCAACTCTTCTATACCTTGAAGAGTTAGTCTGTTAAAATCGGAGAACCCTCCAGCTCGTGACCTTGACGAGACATCGTTTAAATCGAAGAACCTCTCAGCTCGTGACCACGACGAGACACTCCATTTAAATCGGACAATGCATGTCCACGCGCGATGCCGTCGGGGTGTCAGTTGCTTCCGGTTGGATGTCCCTGTCTCCTTCCAGATCGTGACCTTGAAGTAGCCCTTCGTTTGAATCGGGAAGCCGTCAGCGGGGCCGCAGCTCCCTCGGGAGGGGCGCGCTCAAGGCGAGCGCGCGTGGGCGCGGCCGCGGGCGTGGGCGTGGGCGTGGGCGGGCGGCGTGGCGGGGGCGGGCGCTGAACCTCACCGCGCAGCAGCGGCTGGCGTCCCGCGCGTCGCGGCGCCGGCGCCGGCGCCCCCGCCTGGGGCGCGGAGGGCGGAGGCTACGCCAGCAGCGCGCTCTCCGCCGTGGGCGGCTGGTGGTGGAGGTGGTGCGGCGTTGGCGGAGGCGGCCGACGCCCACGGGCGCCCGCCCCGCCGCCCCCGCCGCCGCCGCCGGCCGCCCGCGTTGTGCTGCTGTTGCTGCTGGCCGTTGTGCGCAGACAGCCCCGCCATCGTCAATGCTCACCGTGTGGCACCTGCGCAGCCGCGCGCCGCGGGCCGGGCGTCAGCGCACGCCCCGTCGCCCTCGCCCTCGCCCCCGGCGGCGGCGGCAGGGCTAGACGGAGTGGGGAACGGGGGTTCTGTTCGAGACGGAAGCAGATGGGGTGAACGGCAAGGGACAATATGAATGGCTGGGGAGGGGGAGAAAGGTTGGGGCCGGCACAAGCGGCAGTGCAGCGGTAGTGGGGGTTGTTGCGGTGGGATGCTGATGGTTATGGTAATGGGAATGATGTGGGGCTGATAGAGTGATAGTGGAAGTGACGGGGTGAAGTAATGGCTTATATTAGTCCCCTTAGTGAAGTGCATGTTTTTTATAGCGTGGTGGTGAGATTCGACGCCGACCTACCGTCGGCTGGCGGAGTTTCCCTCAACCCCGTTTCTCCCACCAGCGGGGCATCCTCCCAGCCGGAACAAGCGCTGCTCTCCCCCTGCATGTGAGCATGTGTGTATGGGGTGAGGATAGGACAAGGAAGAGGTAGCGGTCCGTGGCCCGTTTCTTAGGGAGTTGGGGAACCTGCGCAGCGGCTGGCGCCGAGGCGAGGGCGTCAGCGCGGGGGCGCCCGCGTCGCACGTGGCCAGAATGGAAAAAAAATAAAAGTTTCTAGATGGGAATTTTGGAATATCAGGTTGGCTATAGTAATGTGGGGACGATGAACTGTTCATTTCATCCGTCATATTCTAGATCAAACTCATCAATTCGTCGTTAGCGGTCCGTGCAGCCGGTAAGAATACAAATAGCCCTGACGTTGAAGATAAATCTTTGTGTTCTGTGTACCTGAAGAGAATATTTTCAACATGGAAGGGGTTTCAGGAGATATGTATTGGTTTGGGTATAGTTTTGAAGAAGGCCAGAATATGTTGGCCGAAACGTCACTTCGATGGACTCATCCTGGGCAGCCGAGAATCGAATGCCAACATGAGCGCCTGGTGAGAGTGAGAAAGGTCGCCGGTCGCCTTTATGAGTGGAGGGTGGGGTGGGGTGGGGGTCGATGGCAGAGGTGGTGATGGGGATGATATTGATAGAGGTACAGACGGAGGAAGTGATGACTTGGGTGATGGGGTAAGGAGGTAAGAGTATTGGTGTTAAGGGTGATGACGGGCTGGGAGTGGGGTAGTACTCATAGTAGAGGATTATGGTTGACTAGTGATTACGTCAACTGCTAAAATTGTTTGCTCCCTAAGTATAGTACATGTTTTTATCGAGGAAATGGAAGTGATCTCCGCCCGCTGGATGATGATGCACCAACCTACCCGTCGGTATGAGCTGTTTTCACTCAGCCAGGTATCTCCCATGAGCGGGGCACCGCGCCACCCGGAACGAGCTCTAAGCGCCCGACTTACCTCCCGGCAGGAGTGGCTTTAGCAACGCCCTTAAATTAAACTCTCCCGCCTCCGAGGGTTGCCACCTCTGGACTCGAAGATTTTGAGTGGGAGGTCACAAAAATTAAGTGTAGTGAAGGTAATTCTAGACCATAGAATCTCAGGATAATATATATGAATTTGTATTTCTATGGATTACAAACTTTGAAGGAGTAAAGCAAAGTTGATAGTGATCCTACAGGACCTACAGAATATGCTTTAGAGTGAAAACCCGAAGGACTCGTGTGCTCGAATCGCATTATATCACATCATAGCGCCTTTCGAGATGCGTCGGTTTTTCTCTCCGTTTGTTTTTAATTTGAAAGTTAGTCTATTGACATTATTATATGCTGTAATAATAATTCATAACGGGAAAATAATTTTATTGTGAAATACGATTTCTTTTTTCAACAGTATAGTGTGGATTAACTGCATCATGCGACAAAAATACCGTCACGTACTTCTGCCCAACAATTCCGTATGTTTTTCACAACGAATTTAATTGCTAGTATTACCCAGAGATTCTCTATATTAAACCGGGGCCTGGAGATTACATCTGAATCCCGGAGTCTCGGGGTCAAACCCAAAGAGGTGGCTCGTCCACAGCTTAGTGGGGAAGGAAGACGCCATGAACGTCTGTGGTTCGTGCTATCGTGAAAATATCGGCGTGACGCCTCACTAAACCTCGCTCTGGACGGAGAGTACGACCGCAGTGAGGCGCTTAAACGCCTGAGTGGAGGGTACTAAAGTGTTCGTTCATTTGCGGCGGGGTTAACCTCAAGGTCGACGAGACTGCGAAGGCCAGGACGAGTGAGGCTGACGTATTGGGGGGGGGGTGCCTCAAGGTGGTCTATTTCGACCGAGAGGATCGATGGGTATTTCGAGCACTAGATAAATACAATGAAGACAACGTCGATCCGGAGTGGAGAGATCGCTAAGGCAGTAGCGATCTCGGACGGAAGGATCGCGGGTTCGAGTCCCGCCTCGAGCTCGGGTGTGTATGTGTATATCTACATACGTATATAAGGAATAACATACGTAGAAGATAACTTTCTAGTATACGTACGTAAATAAAGACTAATATACTGGTATGTAGTATACAGAAAGTTCTGTAATGTTGCGGAAAATAGAGATTTCGAGGGAAATACACGTTTGGGGGTTCTCTGATTTACAGAATTTTTTTTCTTTCAAAGCTGCCGACCGGCCGGCTGTCCGTCCGCCAGTCTAGCGCCTAAATTATTCTTACAATTTTTTCCAAAATGCATATTCCCCGGCCGATCTCGCTCGACTAAAAGCTGTGCGATTTTGAAAATTATTCTTTAAATTTTCGGGCTATTTTATTGAAATTTTTTTCTGTAAATCTCTGGTAACAATAGAATGAAATACACTTATAAAGAAGGCCTATTTTTAGTTTTAATTCTGAATTTTCGAAAATTACAACAATTTGACATTTTTTGTTAACTTCCTACAATTACAAAATTGGAGACAGAGATTTGTCATCAAACTGAAATTTGTTTCCCATAGTTAATTCTCTAATTAAGGTCATGTGAATTTCTTTTGAAAATTTTAGTAGTGTTCGCGAAATATTTAGTAAAATATGTGCAATATTAAAAATATCAAAAACAAGAGTTTTTTAAAAACGGCTCGAAATTTTTTCTTTAAACTTTTGGTACGGATACTGCTAAATGAACTGAATTAAATGATAACACGCCATCTTGCTATATTCTCGCAAAAATAATGCCGTAAGTTGTCCCGTACGTATAGTACTTGCTTCTAGCGGGTTGGTGGCGGTGATCTTCCTCTGCTGGATGGCGAGATCCGGCGCCAACCATTGTCGACTTGATGGACAAGCAGGAATCTTCCACCAGCGGGGAACCGCCCCTGCCGGGACGAACTCTAAGCTCCCGACCGGTCTCCCGACATGTGTGGTAGTGCAGTGCATGTTAGTGTAAGGGTGTGTAAGTAGGGGGTGAGGATAGGCCAAAGAAGATGTAGGAAAGATCACGCGCCGTCCGTGGCCCGTGTGTTAGGGTACTGCTCCGGTGCTGATCGAAGAAACCACGGAAAACTACCTGTGAGAGCAGCCGGCCGCTAGAATACTCTTCCAGATAGCGGCTGAATTCGACCTAACTCTCAAGCTAGTGTCGAAAATCCTATCACTGTGGCAACTGGAACCATAGGACCTTCTAGTCAGAGGCACTGCACTGAGCTCAGTTTTTCCTGACAGCACATGCAATGTCCATGCTATTTTAATTACAGACTGCTTTGCGTCGCGTTGAGTATTATATGTTGAAAGCGCCAGTCGTTTGACAAACAAAATTGTAATGCATTGTATCTGTATTTTGAAAACACATATTTTTATTAGAAGAGTCCGACGTCGTTCGTGCGTCTTCACCGACAAATAATTAATCCAACAGTTCCACTAAGAGGCGTGGAGGCTGCGTTTACGGAGTGACGAAAATTGCGGCGGCGATGGTGGAACGGTTAGCGTATCAGACAGTTATACCCAGTTCGCAGGCTCAAACTCGATCGAAGGGCGATTTTAAGGGCGAAAAAAAAAACCTTTGTACGCCTTCCTTCGAAGAGGAACTAAATCCGGTTATCCGATGTAAGTAGATTTACTTGCATGTAAAAGATCCTCAAGCCTAAATGACGCCTCCAGCATTATACAAATCGCCTGTTTTGTCGCCCGCGTTGTGCGTTCTTCTCCGCTAGTTTGTGAAAGGAGCGTAGCGCAATTTGCGTGGTCAGACGGAAGCGCAGTCCTCATGGCCTGAGTCTGGCCACCTACTTCAATTCTCTTCAATTCCACATTCGGTGCGCGCCCGTAGGTCTTTTGGCCCCATCACAGGAAGCAAACGCTCCAGGTGGGGTCGCCTTAAGAGCGGCGGCGGCGTCGCTACGCGCGGGGCAGGAGCCGCGGGGGCCGCAGGGGCACCAGCGCGAGCGCGGGCGGTGCCGGGGGCGGGGAGGGGGGCGTGCCGCCGCCTCGTCCGCCGCCGCTGTCGTCCTCGTCCTCGTCGCCGTCGGGGGCGGCGGGGCAGGGCGCAGCGCGCAGGCAGTAACAAGAGCAGCCGCAGCCGACGGCGGCGGCCCAGCCGCACCGCCAGCCGCCACCCGCGCCCGGCCGCCTGCGCAAGCACAGCGCGTGCGCCCACACGTCACCCGCTCTCGCCCACGCACCCAACGCCGACGACACACGCTCATACTGCTACGGTCATTAGTCCCTTTAGATTCGTTGGTTGTTAGAGATAGCGAAGATAGTGAACTCCCGTAAGTGCAGTTCATGTATTTCCTAGGGGGGTGGCGGTCATTTTGCCCCTGCTGGATGGCGATATCTGACGTCGATCTACCATCGGCTAGCGGGGCACCGGACCAGCCGGGACAAGCTCTCAGCTCCCGACCGGCCTCCCGACATGTGTGGTGATGTAGTGCATGTTGGTGTGTGTGTAAGGGGTGAGGGTAGGACAAGGCAGACGAAGAAAAGATTGCGCGCTGTCCTTGTTAGGGCTCTGCCCTGGCATTCGCTTGGTGTTGATCGGAGAAACCACGGAAAAATACCGATCAGAGAAGCTGGCTGATGGAACTGAAGTCGACCTAGCAGTCTGGCTAGAGC